TTGTGTGTGTGTGTGTGTGTGTGTGTGTGTGTGTGTGTGTGTGTGTGTGTGTGTGTGTGTGTGTGTGTGTGTGTGTGTGTGTGTGTGTGTGTGTTGATATGTTATAATTTCTTTTATGTATAAAAATATAAATAAATGTCAAAATTGTTTTCTGAAAAATAAGTTTTTACACATGATTAAATAAATTAATATAATAAAAAGAAATTTTTATACTAACTATAAGTACATTATTTTATCTTTTCATAATTATAATGTTCATAAATATATATATCATACAATAGAAGTCGTTCAAGTAATCTTCATAATTCAACGAACTTTGTTTTCTACCTCCCCTGTTTTGATTAAACAACTTTTTTGGTGCGGTCCAAAATGGGATAGAAACAAGACAAAATTGAAGAAATTCAGTTATCCCAAAAAACTCTTTTCCCTTTTATGTATCAGATAAATTAAATTATCGCATAAATTGCACTTTTTATAAAATGTTTGCTTTATATTTAATCAGAATAATAGCACAATGTCATGTAATTGATTAAATTATATTTTATATTACATGACATTATGCTATTTAATATTATTGATGCCATCTATGCAGAACAATTATAAGTAGAAGACTCCAATTCTTTAAACAATAAATTACTAATATTTAACTATTGTAACTATTTTATTTTGTACCATTTCAAATTGAGAACAACTCGATCAGAGAGAACGAGTACTCTTCCAATATTGCTTTATCGTCCATAAAAATAGCTGTTTATGATATCCCTTCCATAATCAGAAACTGCCATGGGTTGCCAAATAAATTGCTCTGTTTCCATCGTGGAAACTTTGTATTTCCGTCGTGGAAATTTTGTATTTTCAACGATCTTTTTCCTGCATTTTACAGAATATAATAAATTAGTAATAAAATATGTTTTCATATAGACTTTCTTTTTATCGAAATTGAAAGTTGTAAAAAATTAATGCATAAATATTGGTGCATATATAAAGTTTTCTATCTTGTTGGATTTTTTTACAAAAATTTATACTTATATGTAATAATTCAGAGAAAACATGATATCTATATTACCTTAGAACAACTTGTATTGTTAAAATAAAATAATATTGTAAAAATACATATCAAATAAGTTATCGTCATTAGATCGATTTAAGATTATGTTTCGTCACTCGATGTCAATCGATTAGATAACATAAAATAAATAAAATATTTCTAACGATGTAATATTACAAAAATATCGTCATTGAATTGTTATTTTTAATATTATGTTTAATTATTATTTTAAATTATATAATATAAAATATATTCCATACTATTAGTATGAAAATTAATAAAAATTATGTAGTTTGTTTACTTAAAAAAAAAATCTAGTTCAACTTTATCTTTTAACTTGTAACAAGTTTTATCTTTTAACAATGTCTATTAAATTATCTATTAAACAGATCTATCATATCTATTAAACTGATCTATCATATATTTTCATCAATATTCTCTGTTAAGCTATATCATCACGCAAACTATCAATTACATAGAATTAAATAATATAAGATGTGAATAAAAATTAAGATGGATGACTATTTGTGAGGACATCATTTTTTAATATTTTATTATTCACAATTATCCAACAATTCTCGTTATAAGTCAATGATGTCATCGATCTAGCTTAAGAACGATTTCATTTTTGATGACATTGACTTGTAAGACATTATATTGATTCCTGACTTGGCATCTAACATATCATTATTAAATTAAAAATCAGTATATTCGGCATATACTGCATACTGTTTATTATTATAAAAATATTTTAATAATTTTATTATTTTTCAATAATACAATTTTATATATATTTTACTTATTTAGTTTTAGTTCAGAGAAGTTATATGTTTATAAGATATAGAACGTATATTTTTTTATATTACATTCTTTATCCGCTTTAAAGATCGATTGTTTGTGGAAGAATTTTTAACTGAAGTACGAAACGTACATTAACGCTGACGCGCGTTTATGTAGAGACTTTTACGCTGTTTGTACGATGAAAAAACCGTTCCGCATTGCAAAATCTGCGTTCGACCATTGTGCAGAATACATGTCACGGAATATCCGTCTACACTCGACTTGAAAATTTCCGAGTTTACGTGAATACGAGCGTGAGAGAAATGGTCGTTCAGCCATCTGAAAGCCCGACACGATATCGCATGCGAACGAGTACGAGTATACGCGCTATTGCGTATTACGCAGAATATACGAGAGTAACAATGTCACGATATGTTGATATTTGCGTTTATTTCTATCCATATACAATATTGATCGTTAAATGTTATCATTCTCACTCGTTCTTCTCGTTATACCTTCTCGTCTCGATCCTCAAGGATCATATTAGAATGTAAACGAAAAGTTGAAAAGT